ACGCGCGTTTCATCCTATTTGGGACTCGTCAGCTGGATGTACCTGCATCTCAGAGTTGATGTTCACTGTGAGATTCGAACACAGTACCATTTGCTTCAGACGCCATCGCGTTATCTACTCAGCTACAGTATGCACATATACCAATAACAGACTGATCAATTGCAGTCTTTAACCTCAATGGGAAGATACAAGCCAAACAATACCAAGTGAATCTACATACATATCTATGCTTTTTTGGATTTTCATATTGATGTTCAGGTTTGTAGTTGATCCAAACAACCAATATATATGCGTTAAAATTCATCCTTGTCAACAAACCAGTGATTACCTGAACTCAGCAACTAAATAGATAACACGATTCCACTTGAAGCGAAAGGTATTGTATCAGAGTCCTGTAATAAATATTAACTCTGGAATGCAGGCACATCATGCTGACGAGTCCCAAATAGCACAAAACGCGCGTGCAGGGTTCTACTACAAACCACCATCAATCTCCGCTTATACTAATGATATATATTATACATCTTTGTTAGTAATTTCAGTTCTGCGTATACTTGTTATGATAATATTATCAAATGAAGAGTCATATGATGTATGATTTATAACTAGTTAGGTTTTCGGAGTTCATGTTTTGTTGAGAATGTTCCAATGATAATATACCATATACCCTTATATTTTACATCTCTGATTATCTTTTTAATAGACTCATTCTCAATGTTTAACCATGACGCTTTCCAACGGTTTGGTATTTTAAAGTGACATTTCGGGGAAAGCCGGTATACATTTTTTTCAGGGAAACATTATACCAATTACTTTTCCATAAATCAACATTTATATGATTATTTACTACTTCTAAACAATCACAAGTTTACTTTGATAGTTTTTCTTTCTCATAAAACCAAACAGAAAGTGATGTCTACAAAAATAACGCGAAATGTAATGAAACTAATGGTCGGTACACACATGTATCACAGTAATAAAAAAAGAGGTAATTGATAACCTAGACAGTTCTGCAATAACAATGGTAACTATCTGAAATAGATTTTCATGGAGTTTTGTTCTCTGAGCTGGATGGTCGTTTGGTCGTGGAGCTTTCATCGTTCTTCTGAACGACATCATCGTCATCATCTCGAAATAGATTTTCATTTGTTATCTATCACATCATACGGATTTGATTGAATGTTTAAATGTATGTTTATATTTATTGTGAAGATTTGTTGAATTTGTAGATTATGTTCATCAAATTTTTACCCCTGTTAAGGTATCTCTAAACAACAGGAAACAATGGA